GAGAGAGAGGATGCAGTACGAAGAGCAGCGTTCTTTTATGGCCGAAAGAGAGCGGATCGAGAGAGAGAGAGAGAATCAACGCGAGATGGAGAGGGAGAGGGAGAGGGAGAGGGAAAGGGAAAGGGACAGAGAAAGAGAGAGAGAAAGGGAAAGAGAGAGAGAGAGAGAGAGAGAGAGAGAAAGAGAGAGAGAAATGGAAATGAGAGAGAGGGCTAGGAGAGAAAGGACTACGTCGGACCCCAGTCGCCCACATGGCCAACATCCTGCAGAGTTAGGCCCTCAAATGCTATCGCGACAGCCACCTTACGGAAGACCAGATCCCCGAGATCCACGAGATCCACGAGATCCACGCGACCCGCGAGACCCGCGAGACCCTCGAGACCCTCGAGATCCAGCAGTCTGGCAACGACCTGCTTATGACCAGCCGCCTCCGCGAGAGGCGTATGGCCCGGCTTACCCGGGTCCGCGACCAGGCGAGTTTCCTTCGACTACAGCCGCGTCGTACGGAACGCATCCCGCTTACGCGCAGCCCCCTCCTCACGAACGCTTTCCGGCCACTGGCCCCCCCCCTCATGTGATACCTCCGAACCAGCCGGGTCCTCAACCTGCGCATTCTTTCGAGTCTCCTGACAGGCACCGGTTTGTCCAGGCACACCCTCAGCAGCAACCTCCACCACCACAAGCTGCCAACCGAGGCCGCCCAGTTGAGGAAGGCCCTCCCCCTCCTTCGGTTGCGTATAATGGCGGCCCCGGCTCGGCTGCCTTCGAAGCAGGCCGACCACGCGTCATGGATGAAGGCCCGGCCCCTTCCGGACACCAGAGAAGTTTCCTCGGCATCCAAGAGATAAATCGTAAAGGAAGAGTATCGCCGCTACCACAGGCGGTTCAAGGCGCACAGCCTCAGTTGCAGGGCCCGGCTGGTGAACCTGGAATTAAGAGTGAATTCGGCCGCATGTTCTCCGGCATAGGAAGCGGTGTTCGCGGCATCGGTGTCTCCAGCCCAGTGCCAACTACAATGCAAGCTCAATTCCCCAACGCGGGTCCCGCTCGGCGTGACGACGATCATCCCGGTCACGAGATGCTTGCGGATGCTCCGGTGAAGACGGCCGCTAGGGGAAAACGAAGGAAGGCCAAGGACGACGACGGAAAGGGTGACGACGATAGCACCGGCAGGAATACTCCAGTCGGTCGGGCTAAGCGTCCCAAGACCCACGCTCATCACCATCATCACCAGTAAGTAATAGCTCTTGTATTCCGTTTACCTCGACCCGTATTCATTGTAATATTTTTTTCTAGTCATCATCATCATCACCATCATGGCCCGGAAAGAACCACCTCGCCCCTTCAAGCAGCCAATGGGCAGATCAAAAACCTCAAAACTAACACACCGATACCATCTCCAACCAACAAAGATTTTTCGAATCTCACTCATCACCACCAACCTCCCAGATCAGCCGCGGCCCCGTCTTCGAAGTCGGCGGTCCCCGGCTCTACCATAATACCCAAGCCGAAGCACAAGATCTCGTCCCAGGCAGTCCTCGACAGCGTCGCGGACCGACCACGAAAACACCTTGGTGACGTGGTGTACCAAGTCGTCTTGAAACCTAGCAAATTGGAATCGTCTCATTCCAAGTTCGGCTATTCGTCGAATCCGCGACCGCTCCCGATGGACGTGATCAAAGGTAACGAGAACTCGACACTGACGGTGAAGATTCCCCGCGTTCACCTAAGCCCGTCCGCTCGCGAGGAGATCACGGCTCGTCGAGCGGTGTGGGGTACGGATGTATACACGGACGATTCTGACGTCGTCGCCGCATGTATTCATGCGGGCTGGATTCGGGGCGAATGGGGTGACGACGTGGACGTTGATCTGCTAGATTTATATAAACCCGCAACTACCAAGAAGCAGCGCGCGGCAGCTGCCGAGCAGCCGCTCGAAGTTCTAACCTCGCCACCAGCTTCTGGGCCTGTTCAGATCCCCGCGGATCGCGACTTACATGTGACGCTGTTGGTATTGCCAGCACTCGATAAATATAGTAGTTCGACACGGTATGGCATCCAGAGCCGCGAATTCGGCGGAACATACAACGGGCGGAAATCGATCCACGACGGTATCAGTTTCATGATCTTGAATGTGCGGTGGGTGGACGGTGCGGCACCGCAGAGCAGGCTTCGAGGCAAGGCACGCAGGGAACGGATCCGGAAGGCGATGACTGAAATGAACCGGAGCCAGGTCGTGGATATTGGAGAGAAAGAGCTCCTAAGTAAGACGACGACGCGGGATGCGGGCATTGACAAGGAAAAGAATCATGGGAAGTCGGTCGGGAGCAACATCGGAGAGGGAAATAAGGAGAACCGTCCCGCCGTGTCAGTGTTGAACGATGCCACCTCGCCGTCGAAACAAGAGAAACCTTACCTGGACACGAAAATGGATCTGGACGCGGAAGTCAAGGAAAAGAGCAGCCCCGCGGATAGTCAGAGCGCGGACACGACTACCATAGCCACCTCTGCCGGGAAAGAACCGGCAGACCATGGATCAAATGAATCCACAGATGTATCTACATAAACTCGGGCTCAGTGCTCACCCCATCCTGCAGGAGGAATCCGATGACAGAGCTGGATGTACAAGTAGTGGGATCTGTTGTGCACAGCAATTTTTTTTATTTTCTTCATCGAGCTATACCCTTACGTGGCGCCACGGCCCTCAAAGATACCTGATACCTGTCTACCTACTTATTTTTTTCAGCCCGTGTTTGCTCTTCATTCCCCGAACTTATATAGCACAGCACGGAGTTCTGAGCATGCCATGGCTATATATAACGATATATATATAAATTTCTTTGGTGTTGCACTTTTCACAAAAATGACAGCAGTTTCAGAAGATTTATATAGTGTATATGACGGGAATGGATGAATGACATGAGACATGGTATACTCATTTTATATGAATCAAACATACTGTGAATACTTTTGAACCGTTACACTCCTTTTAGCCTGTATAGCATCAATATTTGGTAGATGAAACTGTTATGGGATATGGGCTGAAGCATCTCTCTCTTTTTTGTGCAAACTCTGAATGGTAGAGATTGTCGTGAATTCTAATTCTACTCGGCAGTATGGTTTGTTTTGCTGTAACACTCGACAGTAGTATGTGCGTATACAACACCCTGCGGAATCGCTGCACTTTATGACACCAAAGGTTGAATTCTCGGAATTATAGGCTATTCCCTCTTTCGTAGTAGATTGGCCAAGTCAAACCAATACGGGTATTATGGTAATGCCAACCGCGTCTTCATTTATTCTGTTCTCTCAGCCCCCCTCTATTTGCTAGTCGCGGAGCCGTCCGTACCAGAGGGAGTTCTCCTGTTATAGAACTTGCTTAGAAATCAGTGACACGGCCATTGAAGCTATAATCGCCGGCGGGACCCCAACGGAGCGGTTCGTTCTTGGGCCCGCCGACCTCGCCAGTCTTCGGGTTCACATCCCCCTCAAACTCGGGCGGTGCGCCTTTCCGGAGTGGCACAGATCCGAACTCATCATCGAGGGCGGGCGTTTCTACTGCGGTGGCATCTGCCGAAGACGAAGCGCGAGCTATCGTGGAGTTTGTTGAAGATGGAGCGGGAGAAGAGAAGTCCGGGGTCGAGGCCGGGTTAAAGCGTTCTTGGGTATTGGCTGTGCGCTGTAGACGCTCGAACTCCGCTTGCTCGTCCAGCGGCAGACGAGGTGGCGAGGGCGCTGATTGGAAGGGGTTGGTGCGGCTGGAAGCGAGGCGGACGGATTGTCGGGTATGAATATGTGGGAGTGATGTTGGTTGAAATGTCGGCTGTCTCGTAAGCCGGACGAGACGAGTGAGGCGAGTGAGGCGCGATGCCATTCTGAAGGTATACTACTTCTTTCTTTCTCTTTCAACGAGAGTCGATGTAAATTTGTTAATTCGTATGTGTGCTAAGAAAGTCGAGGAGTATTTTTCTAAGAATCTAGGTAGATATTAATTCATAAATAACGTGTCAACAAATTGGAAGATGACGAAATCTAAGATTTGAGTTCCGGATAATGCCGCTCTCAAGTTACATACTACCTAATAGGTAGTGGGTACATGGATAGTAGTATTGTACAATACCTACCTCCAGGTCCTGACTCCTACATGTAGGTACTAAGCAGCCAAGGTTTGCGCCGATAAACGGGTGCGTTAAACTCGGTACGGAGCTCGCATACTAGGTAAGTATGTACTATATAGTACTTACTAGGTACCCATACTAGCACCTATATGTATCGATATCTATAGTACCTAGTAGGTAGACATTTTCAGATTTCCTTATTCTCCGAAAGAAACGCATCTGATTGGCTCATCGCTCTACGGTACTGCAGATGTTACCGATTAAAAAACTTTTGGATTGCATACATACACCATGTCATAGGTACACAGCAGTACATCCTTCCGATATAACCTGAGCATGAGGTACCTCCAGCTATATGTACTTAGATACAGTAAACCTTCGCCATAGCGATTCTAGACCATTACGATTATTCTTTATAACGATATTCCAATGGGATTTTAGGATTTTACATACAAAATAACGATATTTTTTCCATAACGAAATATCGTTATTTTTTAATTAGCCATCACCAAAATCGTTATGACAAAGGTGAGATAATTGGCTTAAAACCCATAAGATACCCGATTTAATACTAGTTCCTGGCTATTTTTACTTATTAATTTGACCCAAAACTGCCTAGCCTTGACTTTCAAGTGCTACTATACCAAATCGGGCAAATGTGGAGACCTCTTCTTAGCGATACTCTTGCATAACGATATAAGGGTGGTGTTTTTTGACCATCGTTATGGCGAAGGTTTACTGTATATCGATAGTTTATCTATGACGGCTTATAGGTACACGTGAACCTCTTAACAAAAGGTCAAAAAGCAAAACTCATTTTGGTTTTCATGAACCACATGCACGGATCACAAAGAACGGGCAGAAATATAGAAAAAAAAAACACGAGCTCAGCAGGGATCGAACCTGCAATCTTCAGAGGACTGGTATGATGTTTCTTTGGACAAGAACCGAAATCTGACGCCTTACCATTAGGCCATGAACCCCTAGACAACTGGCGATTTGCTGGAATACTATCCATTGTAAAATTCTTTCATATTCGTCAATAACGGAAGCTAGAATGTTTGAGTGTGGATAACTGGATACAGTGGGTACCAGACTGCCTAACCGAGCTGATACCTAGGACCTAGGTCCTATGTAAGTCCTACTATAGACCTAGTAGAACTTGGGACTGAGGACTAATAGGTATATATACCATTATAGACGCACAAACTACCACGAACGACCATAGGACCTAGAGAATTCGGGATCCCGTCTGCTCTCCCATAGACAAGCTAGGTACCGCTGGATTAGTAGTTGGGTCGGTGACGACCAGCAAATCCCCAGTGTTGTACGTTTTTTTTTTTTTTTTTTTTTTTTTTTTTCTGTTTTTCTGGATATTGTATATTGATTTTCCCTTTTACCCTGAGTGAGAGAGTCAGAGAGAAAGAGAGAAAGGAAGAAAAAGAGTAGGATTGTTAGCTGTTAAGCCACATTAAACGTCTCGAATGTCAAAATGACACTAACAGTTTATTAAAAGTTGCGCATTATTCTCACCAACCGATGGGGAGGGGAAATGTGTGGAATTAAAGAATTTTCATCTGTTTAACTTTTGAACTCCCTCAAAATACTAACAATATTATCCGATGAGGATATTGTCAATGTTACATATGCATATGCATATACCTGATTAATTTCTGAAAATGGATAACTGCAATTCGATGACGCAAATGGCCAATCAAAATTTATGTATTCTCGTGCTGCCCCTTGCATGTTTTAGATATTATTGACTAGGTAGGCTAAGAAGGATCGGATCCGTTCTCTTCGGAAATCGGTCAAATGCAGAAGGGTAGAAGGGTAAGTGGGATGGCGGGGTAATAGTAAAAGAAAGACTCATTCAAGTCACTTCCGGTTATCGCTTTAGGAAAGAAGAAGAAAAAAAAAACCTGTATGTGCAGGAAGTACCGAAATACCAAATTCCAAACCTAACTTGAACATTTAACATTTAACATTTAACGTTTGAACATTTGATCAATTTTTAGCATCGCTTGTTGACTCGGACCAACTTTCTAAAATCTTCCCCTACTTCCTCCCTAAAAGAGTCATCCTCGTCCTCTCTCTCTCTACCTTCCTTACCATTCCCGAACCCACCTCTGCCTCGATTCCTCTTCCCATTGCAACTAATTAATTGACTTTGTTTGAACAATATGGAGTCTCTCAGACAGACCTTCAACCGCTGCAAGGCAGAGAACCGGGTATGACTCCAATTCCTCTTCTTTTCTCTCTCTCTCTCTCTTTTTCTCTCTTTTTTCTTTCTTTTCTATATGCTCTTGATGTAGCCATGAATCCTATACATGCAGTAGTTTACCATACCGTTCTATATCCCATGTCATTATCCTAAACTAACTTACCGTGTCGTCATATAGGCTGCTCTAGTTACCTATGTCACCTCTGGTTACCCCAAACCTGAGGATACGCTCGACATCCTGCTAGGAATGCAAACGGGTGGTGCTGGTATGTCCTGTCCTGTAAAAACTAGCTATATAACCGACGTGAGTGGCCGATGACGGCGGTCAACCGACTAACAAAATTTCAGATATCATTGAGCTCGGTGTACCTTTCACAGATCCAATCGCCGACGGTCCAACTATCCAAACGTCCAACACCGTTGCTCTTGCCAATGGCGTCACCATTAAGTCCACCTTAGATATCGTTCGGGAAGCTCGATCGAAGGGGTTGACCGCCCCAGTTCTATTAATGGGTTACTATAACCCATTGCTTAGTTACGGCGAGGATGCTCTCTTGAGGGACTGCAAGGAGGCGCGCGTAAATGGCTTCATCGTATGCGACCTGCCCCCAGAAGAGGCTATCTCTTTCCGAAAATTATGTAGCAGAGGTGGCCTTTCATATGTCCCTCTAATTGCGCCCGCAACCTCCGACACCCGCATGAAGATCCTATGCGCCCTCGCCGATTCTTTCATATATGTCGTATCGCGTATGGGCGTCACGGGTGCTCTAGGTACCCTCAATGCTAACCTGCCGAATCTTCTCGAGCGGGTCAAGAAGTATAGTGGCGACAAGCCAGCTGCTGTTGGTTTTGGTGTATCGACGCGCGAACATTTCCAGTCCGTGGCCTCTATCGCCGACGGTGTGGTTATCGGTTCCGAAATCGTCACGACCCTCCAGAAGGCCGAGCCTGGCAATGGTGCTAAGGCCGTCGAAGAATATTGCGCTTACGTGTGTGGACGAACGGCACAAGAGACGACTCGGGAAGTGGGTGTTATCGAGGCTATCGGTGCTGCGAAGCAACCTAGCGGCGAGGATGTGACTGTCAACGGAGTGATTTCGGAGCACGACGATGCTGCCTTGGTTGCTCAACTTGCAGCCCTCCACGGCAAGATCCCGGAGCGGTTCGGAGAGTTCGGCGGCCAGTATGTGCCGGAGTCGCTTATGGACTGCTTGTCTCAATTAGAGGATGGCTTCAATGCTATCAAGGATGACCCCAAGTTCTGGGAGGAATATAGATCTTACTACCCTTGGATGGGACGGCCAGGCCAGCTCCACTTGGCTGAGCGCCTGACTGAGCACGCTGGCGGAGCTAACATCTGGCTGAAGAGAGAAGACTTGAACCACACCGGATCTCACAAGATCAACAATGCTTTGGGACAGCTTTTATTAGCGAGGCGACTGGGCAAGACAAAGATTATCGCCGAGACCGGTGCTGGCCAACATGGTGTAGCAACTGCCACAGTCTGCGCCAAGTTTGGCATGGAATGCACCGTTTTCATGGGGGCTGTAAGTTTCCGTCTTTCTTCGTTACCTATTCTTTTCTATCGCAAGTAGGGCGAGGGCGGCTTACAAATTTTATAGGAAGACGTTCGACGTCAAGCGCTCAATGTGTTTCGGATGCGGTTACTTGGCGCCAAGGTCATTGCTGTTGAAGCTGGCAGCAAGACTCTGCGAGATGCTGTCAACGAAGCACTTCGATACTGGGTTGTTCATTTAGAGGATACCCATTATATCATCGGGTCCGCCATTGGTCCCCACCCCTTCCCTACCATCGTTAGAACCTTCCAGTCGGTCATCGGAAACGAGACTAAGGCGCAGATGCAAGAGAAGCGGGGTAAGCTACCGGATGCTGTCGTGGCTTGCGTCGGTGGCGGCAGCAACGCCGTCGGCATGTTCTACCCTTTTTCGAAGGACCCTAGCGTCAAGCTTCTTGGCGTTGAAGCTGGCGGAGACGGCGTCAACACTTCACGACACTCAGCTACTTTAACAGGGGGTTCAAAGGGCGTATTGCACGGTGTAAGAACATATGTTTTGCAAAATGAATTCGGGCAAATCTCGGACACGCACTCTGTTTCGGCCGGGCTCGACTACCCTGGCGTCGGACCCGAGTTGTCAAATTGGAAAGACTCTCAGCGTGCCAAGTTTATCGCTGCCACCGACGCGGAAGCCTTCATCGGCTTCAAACTCATGAGCCAGTTAGAAGGTATCATTCCGGCGCTCGAGTCGGCCCACGGCATCTATGGCGCCATCGAACTAGCTAAGACGATGAAGAAGGACGAAGATATCGTCATCTGCCTCAGCGGTAGGGGTGATAAGGACGTCCAGAGCGTTGCCGAGGAGTTGCCTAAGCTAGGACCTCAGATCGGATGGGATCTACGATTTTAAGGGTAATCACACACCTATATATACCTAGGACCTAGGCCTTAGGTCTTAGGTCTTGGGTCTTAAGGTACTATGCATGCCCTACATTTCTGGGCGCGGATAATGAGTTTCGGGTCAGGAGTTTGGGTATGGAATATTAAAAATAGAGAGCATGGTATGTGATACACTGGTATTGGGCTACATTCATAAATCTGTAACTAGATGAACTTTTTACAAGCTGATTTGCGCGGTTCAATGCCACCTGTGTTCCCTATATCCCCTATATGTAGACAGGCATAAAGTCGGTTCGTGGGTTGATTCATGGAGCTGGAGTCTTTACGTCGTTCTCATTTTTATCAGGCTCCTCCCTAGGTTGCTCAGTTTGCCTATTTTCTCCGTTCTTCCCAATCTCGCCGTCCACCCCGCTCTCCGTGGTATTTTCCTCCTTCATGAACTCGGCCTCCTTGGGAATCTCCTCAGCTTCGTCCTCCTTGTCCTCCTTGGCTATTATTTCCTCGCCTTTCTTGACCGTGCCTATGACGAACTCGTCCTCTCGTTCTATCATCTCCTCAACCTCGGTGAGCACAGAATCGGACGTGAACCCTTGGGCGGCGAGTTCGCCGGCAAGATCGGTAGTCGAGACCTCCTTCGGCGGAAGTCCCAGGGCGGCACGCTCCCGAGCAAAGCGCTCTTGTATGGCGGGCGTCTGGATGATCTTCCAGCGGAGGGCCCAACCGGCGGGACCCAATTCCTTGATCCTCTGCGCCTTGGATCCCAAGAGGTACTCGTCGATTCCGCCTAGGCGGTCAATCGTGTACAGAACGCGGGTGGTCAGGCGAACTCGGATGAAAGCGTTCAGACTAGGCGACCAGAGGCGCTTCATCTGTCGGTTGGGTAGCCAGTGGGTGCGCGACTTGTTGCCGTACTGTTCGGCCACGACGTTGCCGAAACGGATCTTTTGGCCGCCATATAGACCCTGGTTCGCTTGCTTATACGTTTGGAGGCGGCCGTAGGGGTAGTCGGGGACTTTTTCCAAAGGTATGCCTTGGTATGACGGTCGCTGCTTCAAAAGAGGAGCTGTGGTGCTGATGGCACGAATCGTGGTGCATGTCGGCGCTTGGAAAGCGGCTGATGTGTGCGAGGGTTTAGAGGTGAGGATCATCGAGAGGCAGCATCGCGACGATGCGGTCGGGATTTGCAATGGCGGCATATTGGTGGGCCGGTCGCGGGCGAATATCAAAACAGTGAAATTAATTCGATATTCCGGAGCTTCGAATTCGATTTCGGACCATTGAAGATTTCTTATCGTGCGATTGTTAAATATCGGGGTCTGCGGGGTTTGCGGGGTTTGCAAGAA